TAGATAAATTATTAGAAGGTGGTAGGTCTGAGGGCTATGGAGTTCAGAGCTAAAAATAAAGAATGCTGTATAATGACAGAAACTTTGAAAACCTACATTCTAAGCAAAAGAATGCCTAAATAATCCAACACAATTAAATTAAAATCCAGGTGCTGGAGAGGTAGTACAGAGGTTAAGGCTCTTGCATCTGTCCCAGTTTGAACCCCTGTACTTCATGGTGAGAAATCCCCAAGCACAGAGGCAGGAGTAAGACCCCAACACTGCTTGTTGTGATCCAGTACCATCTGTCTCAATGAAAAACTAAAGCCCACCCACATCTAGGTAAGTAAGTAAGTAAGTAAAGGCCCTCCCGTTGATCGTCGATTTGTTCGAGCGGGCCCAGTAACGTCTCCATTGGAGACTTTGTTGTTACTGTGTCTGGCATATCGAATACTCTTGGTAGCTTGCCGGGCTCTCGAGACAAAAATAAAGACTGCCTGTCTGTCTTAGCCTAGTCTCTATTTAAAGAGTTAACTCAAAGATATCTTTCCAGAAACTCTGTCACCAGAGATCTTTAGTTGAATTGTAGATGGCACTCAGACTTCCTGCTTGTACCAGATATTAGATATTTAAAAAGAAAGCTATTTGGGGACATGCCCATCTTTTTATTCACTCACAGAAAAACAGTAAGTACCCCAGAAGTGAGATAGAGAACAATGCTCTTCTATCTTGAGGTTTCTCTTGGTCTGATATGAACTCAGCAGTAATTTCAAATGAAGAGTTTGCCTCCAAGGGAGATATCTGTACCTCATAATTAACAAAGAACATTAAATCCTTGTGGCTTAGGTACCCTCCACAAACCAAGCCTTTTACAAACCTGTAGTGTTTTGACTTGCCATTTAACTCCACAGACTGTTAAGAGAAAGGCAGACTGTTCCTCTCCTGAGAAGCTTCTGCATCTTACCTCAAAGTCACAGATAAAAACCACATGTATCTATGCAAGCAATGCTCAACTCTTGTTTTGCTTTCTCATTTCCAGAGGATTCCTTCTATAATAAATATGATTTCAAAACCTGTCGTACTGTGGCTTAGAAAAGCAAGAAAACTGCACAGAGTGGTGGATGGAATTAAGTGGATGAAATTAAGCTCAGAAAATGTTTGGGGACTGAAAACTAAATGGAAATCAAGTATGTGGAGGGACATGAGTGAGTTTGGATGGGATCTTCAATTCTTTTTCTAGGGCTGGAGATGGATGAGTCTGAACTCAAGTTTGTGGCAACATGGGCAGTAAGAGTGTGATGGAAGAGGAATTAACTTATGAAACACTTCCCAAAAGTAAGAATGACAACAAACAGGCTTAGCTTGTTGACAACAAACCAGCTAATGCCACCTCTGACTGTCTGAATGAGGGTTTCTGGAAGCTTATTTGACCAAATGAAGATTTACATCAAGTCTGTTGCTCCACATACAAGCTGTGGGGATGTGGACTTTTCCTTAAAAATAAGATTAAATACTTTCGGAAATGGAGGCATAGCACAGGAGTTATGACTCTTGCCTCTTACATGGCCAAGCCCAGTTCTATCCCTGAGCACTGCTAGGAGTGACCCCTGAGCACAGAGCCAGTTGGAGACCCTGAACACTATCTGGTACTCCACACTCCTCAACACACACACACACACACACACACACACACACACACACACACACACACACCCGAGCACACAGTTAAAAACTTGCACAAAATTCTTTTTTCACTTTCAACAAATTCTGTCATGTGATAATTAAAACCTAGTCAACTATTTCACATAACAATGTGTGACACCCCTATGTGATTTGTCTTTCACATAGGACCAACAAGAAAAAGACCAAAACAACAACAAAAAAACCAATCAACAAAACAGAAACCACACACACAAAAAGCAGGATTCTCACAGAAACCTAGTTCCAAATTCACTACTCACCACCCTTCCTAAAGCTCTTTATAGTCTAATAGATGCTTCCAATAAACTAATAACGAATGATAATAAGTAACAACAAAGCTAGGGTGAGTCATTGGTTTTCAGCGGTTGGACATGTTTGATATTTCAGGCTTATTATACAGTATTATTTTCACTGTTAGATCTGGGAGAAAAAAAACCCCGAGAGGAATGAATTAATGATTCGTGGAAACTGGAACGCATAAGAGGGAAGCCAAGTGTGCTTTCAGTCTCAAGTTCCAACTTTAGTCCCCATCCTGATGTGTAACCCCACCTACCAGGTTCTGTCTGACTTGAAATAGCTGCCAGGCCCTGGACTGGAGTCTCCCTGAGCTGAACCACTGGGAGTCCTCCTCACACTTTCTCTGAATGACTTTCCAGAGATGCCCCTCTTACCCACCTACCAGGCTGATGCAGTCTTCCAGTCCATTATGCTGTCCCTGGCATTTAAGCCGGGGGCAGCATACCAGTTTTTCCTTTAAACTTCCATAGCATTCATGCCATATCTTACTTGCCACCTCCTCTGTTCTGCTGCTTTTGACATTTAATAGGTTTAGATCTTATCTCTCCAGCTGAAGTCCTTGCTTTCATTTTAAGATACTGCCTGCCCCCCTCAAAAAGTCTGGCACGGTGCTCTGTGCCATGAACCTCAGGGAATCACTTCCATTTGCCCCTATCAACGCAAGGACAGAAAGATTAATGTGGAAGGGAATATAGGGCAATAGGAGAGTTGTGTTCAGAGCTGTGATATTTTAGGTATCTGGTCATTTGAAAGTTTTTTTGTTTGTGTTTTTTTTTTTAATTCGCTTTTTAGGTCACACCCAGCAATGCTCAAGAGTTACTCCTCACTCTGCACTCAGGAATCACTCTTGGCAGTGCTTGGGGACCATATGGGATGCCAGGGATCGAAACTGGGTTGGCCGGGTACAAGGCAAATGTCCTACTCACTGTACTATCACTCCAACTCCTGGAAGATTGTTTTGAACTCAAAAGCAAGCACCCAGTTGGAATTGACTTTCTTGTTTGTTTGTTTGGTTTTTTTGGTCACATCCAGTGGTGTTCAGGGCTTACTCCTAATTCTGTGCTCAGGGATCACTCCTGGCAAAGTTTGGGGAGCGGGGACATATGTGATGCTGGGATTCAAACCAAAATTGGCTGCATGCAAGGCAAGTGCTTTAAACCCCGTGATATCTTTCCACCCTAGCACTGCCACCTAGGAAGCACTCAAGCAGAGTTCTCTCTTCCAGACACTATTTTCCTTCTGACATATGTGTCCACCATCAGACTTGGACTGGAGCTTTAAGAGATGAAGAGATAGTACAGGGCAGAAGAGATAGTAAGGATAGGGCACTTGTCTTGCATGTGGCTGACTGGGTCTGATCCCCAGTACCACTTTTGGTTCCCCAAACTTCTGCTTAACTGGGGATTTTTTCTGCAGTGGGACCTGTAGGCAAAGGCTGAATCACTCAGAAATGTGTGACTGTAGCAGGCAGGCAGGCGTCCCTGCAATTACCCAGATGGCTGCTAGTTACTCACTGGTGGTTAAGCCAGTCTTTAGCATCTCCATGTTTTATCTCTTCCCTGTGGTCTTCTGGGGAAATCCATTAGCATCTCTACCTCAAACTAAACAAGGAGAAGCTGAAATGATAATACTGCGGTTTCACTTCCTACAAATGGGGGACCAGCTCACAGGGGCTTGTGGCCTTATTCATTCATGTCATATGGGGCAGTCACACAAAATAATGCAGACCCCTAACCTCGGGGCCATGGCTCCTCTTGTACAGAGCTGGGGCTCTTTCACACATCGTCTCCAGACCAGCAGATAACCCCAGGCTGTCTTCCAGCTGTGCTCTGGGCTATGTTCTCAAGGATCACTCCAGGCTGTGACTGAGGGACTAAATGTGTGGTGTCAGGGAAGGAACAGATTTAGCTGCCTTTAAGGTAAGAGCCTTATCCAGTACTATGGCTCCAGTCCCCGAAATGAAATTGGTGTTTGAGTACTCCTTTCCAGGGAGTGACGATCATGCTAAAAACCTGAGAACCACTAGTCTAGCGAGACCTCAGTTTCCAGGGATGATGAAAAGATCGGCAGATGTTTCTCCTAGGCAGCCTGGGGGAAAGCTTTCAATAGCACTGGCTTAGGTAACTTTTATTGTAATTTCCCCCCCAAAGTCTAGTCCTCCAAGAGAAACACAGTGCCTTTCATGAGGTGTGTGTGAAACCTCTTGCATTATGTTGAAAAAGTGACAGATTTGGATATTGGTATGTTCAGTCATTTTCACAACTGGATTAGCTCAGCAGGGAAGCAGATCTAACTACTCACTTAAACGTGTTTGTAAGATGCCCATTTTCATTATCTTCCCATCAAATCAATCAACTTTGCTCCAAAAATAAAACAGCCACATTTTTTGTGACCGTTACCAAGTGAAGCCTTCAATTTTTACTCAATAAGATAAAAGAAAGATGAGTAGAAAGCATTTTTTTTTCAGTTTGAAAGGGTCAAAATTTCATGCTTCAATTGGACATCCATCGATTCTTTGAAAAAGAACTTAATAGTGGAAGAAGCTCAGCATTTTTATTTGTGCAATGATGACATTTAGAATTCTCGCTTTCATGCAGTTTCAGGATAGACGCCCGTGGCAAGACATATAATAAAGAGAATCTTTATATGAACATTGATTCGTACTTTGCATAAAGGAAGTTGCTGGGCAATGACTAATGCTTTCAAGAATGGCGATGAATCTGGTTATTCTCTTCCTACCCTGCCTTTGGCTGGTTTGGAAGGGGGGGGTGGAAAAATACACTTACTTCCTTCAGAACTTCAAGGATACTTCACTGAGAAAAAGGGAAGTTCTATGAGTCTGTCTGGGTCTGAGAAGTCACTCCAAGAAGTCACTGGGTGTGATATGAAGGTCTACTAACAGTCACCAAGAGGAGTGTGGTCAAGGTTGCAAACAAGTCTCATTCTGTACACACATTACAGTCAATAGGGCTGTTTCCTCAAGGACAGCTCTGGGGAACCCCATGTTACTACAGTGAGCTTACCTCGAGGACAGTAGATGTCTGGAGCCCATCGGTTGCACTCATAATTATCTGCTGCCTTTTCACAGGTGAAACACTTAAATCCACCAGGATATGGTGTGGCTGCAAAAAGTATGAAGAAATGATTGTTTAGACCGAAACTAGATATTAGACACTTGCATGTTTTAAATAAAGGCTTCTCTGTGCTGAAGTAATAGTACAGCGGGTAGGGCATTTATTTGCCTTGCATGTGGCTGACCCGGGTTTGATTCCCAGCATCCCATATGGTCCCCTGAGCACCACCAGGAGTAACTGCTGAGTGCAAAGCCAGGAATAACCCCTGTGAATCGCTGGGTGTGATCCCAAAAGCAAAATTGTAGGATAACACTGTTTTGTCCTTCCTGCATAGCCTCAGATAGTTTAGGTTTATTGGGCTGCTCCCATCACAGTGCTCTCACTCCTCTGTGTTTATTTGTAACTTCTTTCTTTGTGCTCTGTTAATTTGTAAATATTGTTTTTCCTCTTCTCCCTAAGTCCTTTGTATAGTTTATTCAGAGCAAGGTCCTTTTTGTATGGGCAGAGGGAGACAGTAGTAAACGCTATGCTTTAGTTATATGGGAGTCATTTAACTCTAAATGATATTTTCCTCCTGGGCATCTCTTCTCTTGACCTAAGCCTCAGCAGCCCTTACTTCCTAGCATGCCCAAAGGTAGGGTCCTGATGAGGAACTGGATGGAACCAGGGCAAGCGGTAAGCTATGTGTTACCCTGGCATCGAAATGGGCCTGGCCAAAATGCCATAATGCTTAACTATAAGTTAAGAGCTTGGTCATGGACAAATTCTGTAATGATCCATAAAGCAATAACTAGATTCGGATCCTGCTAGGGTTAGGAATGATTAATCTGCCCTGAGCTCTATAGTTTGAGTCTGTGGCAAGATGTTCCCAGGAGAGCTGCCCTACAAGCCTCTATGTATCTCTTACTATATCCATACAAAAATAACTGGGATTAAGATGCTGGTAGAGTTATTGGACTAGGAAAGGAGAAAAACACTTTAGGAGGTATTTTTGCTCTTGGGCAGTCAAGAAGGGCTTTGGAATACCCCTAGGTGATGTTTCCACCCTTGAGCCTGGCAGTCAGGAAGGGCTTTCTTATGTTGATTTGGCTGGGGGTGAAGTATAGGCCCAGAGTGCTGGGGAAGTTGGAGAGACAAGAGAGTTGGAGAGATGAGAGGGAGAGCAGGGCCAGGAAGTGGGCCATGGAGAGACTAGCAAGGGGGACAGAGGGAGAAGGATGTAGAAGAATACAGGAGCAGGCACGTGGAGAGAGAGAGAGAGAGAGAGAGAGAGCCCAGGCTGTGAGATGGAGACGGATAAATGAGCAGGAGAGACAGGAAGAGACAGGAATGAGGGGCAGTGTGAGATTAGAATGAGGGGCTCAGAGAGACTGGGGCAGGTGTGTGGGTAGAATGGAATAAAGGGCATCTGATCAACCAACTGGCTTGGCCCTTGTCTCATCCACCGACTGCCCCATGGCCTGGGCTGCTCTGGCCCACCCCAACACGGTGGCAAGTGTCAAAGCTGTTGGGCCTCTCCCTGGCCATCCCCGGAGATATTATACACAAAATAACTAACTAACTAATTAACTAACTAACTAAATAAATAAATAAATAAATAAAGGTTTCTCAAAGCATACTTGTAGTTTCTTGAAAAACTAAACACGCAAATACCTATAACTCTTCAATTTCACTCTTGGCCATTTACCCCCAATAAACAAAAGCTTCTATTCATGTACAGGCTTACCATCACTTTATTTGTAATAGCCCCAAACTGGAGGAATGGTTAAACAAACTGGAATAGTCATCAGCAATCAAGTCAACAACCTGAATGGATTTCCAAGGAATTATGCTGAGTGGAAACAATTAATCAAAAAGACTTAGTTTGGACTTAGTATGGTTTCTTTTATATAACATTTAAAAATGACCATGTTTTTTGGGAAAAGCTCTAATATTTTTTCCTCTCAGCAACCTCAGAGAAAATATTAGAGCTTGCTCAATATTAGGGAAGGAGAGAGGATACCAATAGGAAGAATCTTTGGCTATTAAGCTGTTTCAAACACTCATTTGTTAAGAGCTGAAGGACTAAACAGAGGCACTAACTAAACACAGGCACAAATACATGGACACAGGTAAAAGGGGGAAAGTCTAAATAAGAAAGGTGGATTGAATGTGTCAACTGAATGTTTCAAAGTTGGGGAAAGAAAAAACAGATACACAGGGGTTCTTCATATCATTTCTTAAGGCAGCTATTGAATTTATATTTATCCCAATATAAATGTCAATTAAAAAAAAGACAATTCAAAATGGCATACTCCCCAAAGTATTATATAGATTCAATTAGGTCCCTATAAGGTTACCTATTTTTCAAAGAAATTGATCAAACACTCCTGAAATTCATATGGAACAATAATCCCCCATAAATAGCTGAAGTAGTCTTTGAAAAAAAGAAGGTGGAAGGCATTACTTTCTCCAACTTCAAACTGTACTACAAAACAGTTGTAATTAAAACATCATGGTATTGTAATAAAGACAGACCTGCAGGCCAATGGAATAGGGTTGAATATCCCGACACACACCCTTCAATATATGATCATTTAATCTTTGATAAGGGAACAAGATATGTGAAATGGAGCAAGGAAAGCCTCTTTAACAAGTCATGCTGGCAAAACTGGACAGCTACTTGTAAAAAAATGAACTCAGCTTCTGTCTAACGCCATTCACAAAAGTCAGATCAAAATGGATTAAAAACCTCAATATCAGGCCTGAATCCATAAGGTACATGAAAGAAAATGTAGGCAAAACTCTCCACGATATTGAAGCTAAAGCTATCTTCAAAAATGAAATGTCACTGATCAAGTAAATGGAAGCAAAGATAAATGGGAGTACATTAAACTAAGAAGCCTTTGCACTTCAAAAGAAACAGTGACCAAGATACAAAGACAGCTTACGGAATGGGAAAGGTAATTCACTCAATGCCCTTCTGATAAAGGGTTAATAAAAAAAGATATACAAGGCACTGGTTGAACTCTACAAGAAAAAAAGAAAAATGGGGCAAAGAAATGAACACAAACTTTCTCAAAGAAGAAATCTGAATGGCCAAAAGGTCCATGAAAAAATGTTCTTCATCATTAATCATAAGGGAGATGCAAGTCAAAACAATAAGATATCATCTCACACATCCCAAAGAACAAGAGAACAGATGTGGGGAGAAAGGGACTCTTCTTCATTGTTGGTGGGAATGTTCACTGGTCCAGCCTTTTTTGAAAACAATATGTGCATTCCTAAAAAAACTAGAAATTGGGGGTATGGTGCTGCCAGTAGGTCAATCTGTACCTGTGAGGCGAGTGCATCAGCAACCTAATGGTGTCTTCAGACTTCCAGATACCCCAAAATTGCTGCTGTGCCTTTGGCCAGACCCCAAAAACTTGGGGCAAAGTTTACCAAGAAAGTAAATGGCCAAAAGTTAGGTGTGTGGGAGCCACACCCACAAACCACCTTGGGCTCAGCTACATAATTGGAGGCATGGCCTCTCTGGTTCCTGATTGAACTGCTTAATGGCCAGAGACTCAGAAACAAATCTTGAAACCCAATGGCTTTCGGCAAAAATGTGTCCGGTCCCTGCAGTAGGTTACTGGCGCTAGGCCAACCCAGGTGGGAAAAGATTTCATGCCTTGGCCTGTTCCCCCTGGCGGACCAGTGGCCACCATCCTCCAGACGCCACTGGATAGTCAGGTTTGGGCCCGCAGTGATGAGACACATGGGGCTTCATGGGATGAAGGTGGAGCCGGCCTGTTCCTCCCCATCCCAACAAGACCCCGAGTCACTGCCCATGAATGGCTTCTCTGGCTCTTGATCAACTGCTTAATGGCCATGATCCCAGAAACTCAGAAACAAATCTCAGAACCCAGTGGCTTTTGGCAGAAATGTGTCCAGACCCCACAGTAGGTTACTGTCGCCAGTCCACCCCAGGGTGGAAAGGGTGTTGTCGCTCCGCCTGCTCACCCCTAGGCAACTTGGTGGCTGCCATCCTCCAGAGGCCATTGGACAATCAGGTTTGGGCCCTCAATGATGAGACATGTTGGGCCTCACAGGATGGGAATGGATCTGGCCCTTTCCTCCCCACCCCAACGAGACCCCAAGTCGTCGCTCAAGAACGGCCTGACTCCTGATCAAGCTTCTTAACGGCCATGATCCCAGAGACTCAGAAACAAATCTTGGAACCCAGTGGCTTTTGGCAGAAATGCGTCCGGACCCCACAGTAGGTTACTGTTGCCGGGCCACCCCAGTGGGGAAAGGGTGTTGTCCTTCTGCCTGCTCACCTGAGGCAGCTCGGTGGCTGCCATCCTTCAAAGGTCACTGGACAGTCAGGTTTGGGCCCTCAGTGATGAGACACGCGGGGACTCATGGGATGGGGGTGGAACCAGCCCTTTCCTCCTCGTCCCAATGAGATCCTGAGTTGCTGCCCATGAACGGCCTTTCTGGCTCCTGATCAAGCTGCTTAATGGCCATGATCCCAGAGACTCAGGAACAAATCTCAGAACCCAGAAAGTTTGGGCAGATATCCCTCCAGATTTAAGTGTTAAAATTTCGGAATTTCAAAATCACACGACCACTACTACAGTCATGCGACATCATATATTATTTTTAATCAGCAATAGAAAACAAACTGTCTACTGTTACCTTTCCAGCAGATCTGAGTTTTGGGTTAAAATCCTGAATAATAATGGTGGGTCTTGTGTCAAAATATTGAATGTGATCAAAGTAGAGAGAGAGTAATGTGGAAATCACCTGCCCCACAGGTAGGGGGAGGGTGTGGGATGGGGGTATACTGGGGTTTTTGGTGGTGCAGAATGGGCACTGGTGAAGGTACGAGTGTTTCATTGTATGATTGAGAGTAAAACCCGAAAGATTTGTAACTGCTCTCATGGTGATTCAATAAATAAAATTATAAAAAATGAAAAAAAAAAGTAAGGTGGGGGCTGGAGAGATAGCACAGCGGGTAGGGTGTTTGCCTTGCACGCAGCCGACCCGGGTTCGATTCCCAGCATCCCATATGGTCCCCTGAG